ATGATTACATTTTTAGCCTTCCGAAATTGATTTAGCTTCACGAAGGCAACATGCTTCTCCTAGTTATAGGCAAAGTAGTTAGTAGCAATTGAATGCTGCTACTTTACCTATAACGTTTGGCTGTTTCTGTCTTCTTTCCCTTCTCGGTAATATATCACCGATCTAACCCCATGATGATCTAATCCCATGATGCCCCTGATCTAACCCATCAGGGGCAACGCTGTTAGAGATGAGATGGCTAAGCAATGGGTTCGGCCATTCCCGTGAAATGCTTGAGGTGCAAGTGTCAGTCCGTTTGGAGAAAAGAGGATAACTTAGTGTGTGCATATCGTTTGGCAGATTTTCAAAGATTTATTTTCCTACAGGCTTTTCACAGAATTTTAAATAAGTACTCAAACTTTTATTAAATGTTTATTTACGATAAAATAATATCATAGCAAACTTTTTTCCTCCATCATTTGGTTTCATTATTTCGAACCGCTCATTTTAGATATCAAATTTTGTGTTCTATATCCTTTCTGGAGGCTGATTCTTAAACGTGCAGGCCTTTTGTAACTGCTTAGCTTAAAATAATTGCTTCAGTTATCCGCATAGCAAGCTAAGCTGTAATTTCTTTTTAATCTTGAGATTTTTGTGTTTCTTAAAGTTTTAAATATTTTTTTTAACTTTTTGAAATTTTAATGGCAAACTCTTCAAGGTATTAGTTTGTTATGCAAAATTTTCAGATTATAACTTCATAAAAATTTTCTTCTGTCTTCGACATTTTGCTGTGGAGCTAAGTTTTCCGGTTCTTCTAACATTACCATTAATGAAACATTAATGAAGATTAAAGAAATCAAATTTTTGACTTTTGGTTTCTATGAAGCTTATGCTATTTTTTGAATATATGATTTTATATTAATCGCTTATTTGACAATTTGAAATTTTTATATAGACGATGACAGAGCAGTGAAGTACCGAATTCATAAGTTGCATAAAGAAAACTTTTCACAGCTATTTAAATTTTGATTGATTTGATGACAATTTTGATAACAGACCAGATTCTTCTTATTCCATCTGGAAAACAAAATAATTAAAAAAGCAGATTTTCATTGAGAAAAATCTGTTGAATTGATTTGCCTCCATAAACATAAAATAATAGCCAATTTATGGAAAATTAAAGCGAGTTATATGACTATTTAAAAAGTCACAACTTTACAGACGTTATTTTCTGCTTCAATCAATTAACATGGTTTGAAGTTTACAAAAATTTCTTAATTTTGTCTACTTTTCGGTTTTTAGACTGCATAGGTGGTGGAATTAAAACTACATAAAAAAAAGAAAAGTCTGTGCGTACTAGTGTAACCGACTTTGAAGGATTTAAGTGGAAATCTTTTGAGGATAACATCTTTAAAACGTTTTTTTAACATGAGAAAAAAGTACTGAAAACACGTTTGATATCGTGCCTCATTTTTACTTCTCATTATGTATAAAACTACTATATACTCCTGTACATAGATGAAACATGAGACAAAATTCAGTTAATAATTAAACTGCATTTTGTATTCCTCTAAAGTATATTCCGAAAAGCTTGTAAATTAGATTTAATTTTTCATTAATATTTGATAACTTCGTCTCGCACATCACTTTTTTTTACTAGTCCCTATAATACTCCCGATTTTCTGAAGTATTACTGAAAAATTAAGATGCGAGAAGTAAAAATGTAGTTACTTGAAAAAGATAAATTTTTTGAAATTACAATCAAAATTTTTCTTTCATTTTAGATATTTATATCTTAAACCTTATAAATCGAGCAGAATAACAGCGCAAATCTTTCAAAACTTTGAAGAAATACGTTAATTTTTGTAAATTTACATGTTCAGACTGTTAATTTTTATGAAAATGTCTCAAATGCTTAAATAGAGTCATATTTTATTTAATTTATCAATTAATGACAGATTGAATTATTGATAACTTTTTTACTTTGACTGAACGGCGGTTCTCAAGATAAGATACGAAAGAATTACAAGATAGTACGATGCCACTTGTGCCATTTTTATATTTTCTCAAAGAATACCACTAGCAGTAGTTTAGCTACGGCCAACTGTCGATAATTAGACAGAATTAGCTAACATTTTAGTAGAATGAACATCATCACCGCCATTTTTTTAGGTCATGAAAAATTATTTTAATTTCTTTAAATAATTTTTCATTTTATTTAATTTCTTTAAATAAAAATAAGAATCTGTGTGAATAAATTTTTAAGTTTTACTCATTTCATTATCTTAAGTAATGTGTTAAATAACTTATAATTATTTACATTTTAACGGAGGTATTAGAAGTCTGAACTTAGAATTTCACATAAATTCACAATAAATATGCATAATAATCTGTTCCATTCTTATAAATTAAACAATTAGTATCTAAATTTGAAAGGAATTATCACCTCCTCCCGGTCGTTGTTTTGTAGTGTAAGTGGTTACCTTTCCAGCTCGCAGTCAGAAAATCTAAGGCTTAAATTTTGGCGAGAGCGCAATTGATCTTTTATGTGTCTCGCTGCAAAACACCTAATTGGCCCTACAAATTTAAAATGGCAAATTGACGTAAAGCGAGAGATTTACCTTTAATTCTTTGATAACAAGACGTATAGATATGTGTGTATATTTTTTAGCTTAGTTCCTAATATTTCGCATTTAAATAAAAATTTTTAGTATCTGAAGATGTTCAAAGTATTCTTTAGTATTCCAGCGCTGACACTAAAAGAAAAATACATATACGTCTCAACTTTAAGCCCAGAGAACTGAGTAAATTGTAAGCGGGAGAACTCTTAGAGGGCTAAAGGAAAAGACAACCCCCCCCCCATTTTTAATATCCTATACTCATATACGAATTTAACAAGTGGGGTAGGGAAGGAAGAACTTGATGAAAAGGTATCTTAAATTTTCCTCTTGTTTTTGAATTGTTCATAAATGTGAATGGACGAATGCATAATCCCCCTTTTTTTTTGCACAAATAACTTTCTTATGTCGGATCAGGATTTTGTTCCGAAAAAAGAAAACAAAAATTGTCGATTTTACGACTGATAATCGAACTTATTTAAGCTGCCTTTCAAGAAGCAGCTTTTAATTACAAACAAAAGAAAGAATTACTGTTAAGAAAGTATATCGCTATCCTTAAAATAATTAATTTAGTGGTTTATCAATTTTTTCTTATGTACTCCTAATAGTATAATTTAATTATAATTAAATATATTTATGTTTCTGAATCTAACCAATAATCAGTCCCTAGGTAGTTTACAGCAATTTATTAACGACTTTTCAACACTTGTCACTGTGATCATTGATTTCAAGATACAATTGTTTTACTGTAGACTACTGACTTATTTGTAGTATACACGGTGATTCTAAATTACTTTTACAAAGTAAGAGGAATGATAGTACTCATCCAGATGAGCAATAACTACCATAGAAACATAGGGTCGTATTGCACTCTGAGAGGCAGAAAAGAAGAATATTAGAATTCCAATCTATTGGAAGAGCGGAGTGTTGGGAGAGCGAATGAACGAAACCAAATGTTGCCTAATCGTTACTGACAAACACAGAGATGACAAACGGATAAAACCGGAAAACCTTGGCGTTCGAGGTAATTAGAGCCGACCTTTGATGGCTAACTCTCAAATGCACTTTGGTTGGCAAGGTCTACCTAGCAAATGACTGCAAACAAGTTAATACCAAATATTAGGGGAAAATTATCTATTAGGGGAAAAATACCGTGATATAATATCAGGGTAGCAGTGTTTTTCTCTTAGCCACTTTATCCTGCTTCTGGACTTGCTCGCTGCGACATTCTATTGAAGCGCCTTCTATGGGACACGAAGTTCTGACAGCCGGAACGCAGCATGAACTTTCATGAATCTCGCATGCAGCGTTATAATATTCAACCCTTGATATAATTAATTGTGCGAGCTTAAGACCTTGCAACCAAAGATGTGCATTGAGTGTTTGCATCAAAGTCGAGCTTGAATAACACGAGAGCGCCAAGTTTCGATTTATCCGTTTTATGCCTCTCTGGAGTTGTCACTAAACTGATTGTGCAACATTGGTCTCGTCATCGCTCTCCCCAGCTGTTGTAAGTTAGATTGGAACTCAATATTATCTTTATGACTCCCGAGGGGAATGCGAACCTATGTTCTAGGGTAATTACTGCTCATCTGGATGAGTACTATTACCCCTCTTAATTTGTAAAAGTAATTTAGAATCACCCTGTATATAGCGAAGTAGGAACTAGTGTTACAGAATATAAACTAAACACAAAAGACACGTTAAATTATGATCTAGTTAATGATTTGTATTTATAATTTTTTACGAAGATGATGAATGCTGGATATTGCGTAAAATTATTAACATTAGTAGGCATATAACTAAAGGTTTTATTTCATTCAGCACGCCGGTGATAGGACTGCCTACAGTTAGCGAAATAAAACCATTCATTATCACCTTTGTTCTTGAGAGAGACTGAGAAACAGTTTTCTCGTTTAACTGATAACAATTTAGCAAAATATTAATTATTGTCACTTAAAAATATTAATTGCCTTACTGATACTATTTGTTCCTAATTAAAATCCCTAAAGTTTTATAGCTTAAAATGCTTGCTTATTGATATAATCTACATGACTGCAAGCAATGATTATCAAATATAATTTTTTTAACAATTCGAAGACTTTGCTTTCAATGACTTCATATTAATCTGAGTGACTATTTGACTTCATTTTTTTAAAGCTGATTTCTATTGAAGTCTGGTCTTTTCTTTTTTATCGAACGACGTAAATTCTACTCAATTATTTTTATTTTACAAATTTATTTTGGGACTTAAAATACAGGTGTAATTTCAGTAAGCTCCGTAATGTAGATTGGAGATAATAAACTCCATAACGTAGATAATGGAGCTTATTATTATTATTAGGGGAGCAGAATGTCAAATTTCAGCCTAACATATTAAAAGCTCAGTTTTTCTTTTCTTACCTTTCTAGTTTTCTTTTTCTCTTTTTTTCAGAAATCCCACTATAAATAAAGATAAGTATATTGCAAAGAAAATCACAAAAATATATAACTGAAAATATTTGCATTATCACGAAATAATACAATATACTATATTAACATTTTTTTCATAATGATTGTTTTAAATTTAATTCTAAGCAAATAAAAATGCATTTAAGCTTTTAATTATATGCCTTATATGTTATGCCATCGATCTGTCATAAGTTCTAAACCTTAATTATTAAATGAACAACTCTGTATTTCAGAAACATTTAAAATCTTTATTCCAAGCCTTTCTGGAACTGAAAAAAAATCAATACAAATATAATTAAGCATCTTTACATTTTAAACTACAAATAGCAGACTATTTTCTATTTGTTATATCATATGATATCAAAATAAGAATTACCCTGATTTTCTTTCGAATGATTAAAAAAAAATTATGTGCATTTAAATTTAAAAAATACCTTTTTTCAATTTAACTTGATCCGTCAAGAAAGCTCTTAGTAAATATTATTATTTTAAAATATGCAACTACGAGAGATGAAATGTATTTAATTACAGGAATAAAAACTGTAACCCAGAATAAATGAGAACTTTAATTACAATGAATTAAATATGTAATAATAATAAAAAGAGTGATTTTGACCATAAAACTGAAAATTTTTTTAGAGGACACTTTGGACCAAAAAAATGTGCAACTTTTATCTAGAAAGAAATTAAGCAAAATCAAAAATTTTCTCAGTGGTGAACGCCTAGAAGAGGACAGCCCATATTGATCTTATTAAACTGACCTTTTCTTCCAAGAGAAAGTAAGCAATTCACTCCAATGGCGTGGAAATTACTCTGAGAATTTTGGGTGGGAGAGACATTAATACACATTTTGACCGCTTATCAGAAGCTCTCACAGTCAGCTATCAAATAATTCCTCTCTACAATAGTCTATAGTCATAAATATTTTTTGAATCTGAATGACGTAACAAACATGTTTCTTTTTTATTAATTTAAGTCCAGTTATATGAAACTGAAATTTTTCTAAGACCGATAGTTATTACCTCAAGTAAGAAGAGTTATTTTATTTTCCCTCCCTTCCTGTAAGAAGATTTATTTTCCGCCCATCTTTTTCTTCAGAACACTATTCACATATTTTTTTTTTGAAGAACGCTCTTCTTCCAGTCACGAACATCAGAGCATTTATTTTTACTGATAATATGTCGGTAAGAATAAAATAATTTGTACTGCTAAAGACTTAAGGATGTGCAACATCAACAAAAGAGTATCGCAAGTAGCTCAACTCACAATTGAGAATAGCAGCATTCTTCTCCATTAACTACTCAGACAAGCTTTCAAAAACAATGCATATTAGATGAGGTATTCTAAATATTATTCATTTGACTCTCCCCTTCTCCCGCCCGCAATTCCTTGAAGGAAAGTCAGAAAGAGAGAGTTAGAACTGGTTCCACCGGCCTCTACGTGTCAAGAATGCCCCAACCTCCACCAGCTGCTTCAGAAGGCAAACCTTTTTCCTACTGACACACTTTCTGTGTATCACTTTTTTTATTTGGTTAGATACCAGTTATTCTTTTAAAGGGAGATTTTATTTTGAATCCCATCTTCGGTATCTCTTGACTCAACTGGAGATTTCACTTTTACCGTCTTTCTCTAAACAGATTTTTTTGGTTATTTCGTACAATTTTTCTTTTAATACTTCGTTTCAAAAATAAATATCTCGAACAAGAAGGTAAATGCTTTTCGTTATTTAGTGTCAAAGACGTCTAATATTCGCAAATCAGTCTAATTAAAATTTTGACAAGTTTAGATATCTCGTATGAATATTTTTTTTTACATTGGAATATTTAAACTACGAGAATGTTATCATTCTTAATATCATGCATTTTAGATAATCACACAGATTTAATCTTAAATTATCTCCGACACGACAATAATCATATTTACCAAAATGCAGTTTTAAATATTCTCCTCTTATTCGCTTTAAAACACAAAAATGCACACAAAAATACACACAAAAATACACACAAAAATGCATGTGACAGAAATGCTGATAGCGTCTTACGCCCGGGTGCGGTTGCGGATACGCATTAAGCTGTCACGGAAGAAAAAGCAAAAAAGGAAAAGAGAGGAATCTGACAGATTAAATCCTTTTTCACTCCCTCCCTGCAATTTTACAGCGCTGTTTCGCAGCAGGTTAATTGCAGTTTCAAACTAATGGCGGTTTTTTTTAATCTGAAAAAAAAAAAAAAAAAAAAAAAAAAAAAAAAAGGGGGGGGGGAACGTATACTGAGAACCACTTGGTGTGATTAAAGAATTCTTATTATTTTACTTAAGCGGAACTTTTTATCCTAATAAAGTCTTTAAAGAGATAGACATAATAAGGTAGCATGATTAAATTTTTATGTGCGGTGGGAGTTAAATCGCAGAATCCCAATTTATAAAATTTCCCTTAAAAGTTTTGCGGTTAGCAACGAGTTCATTTAGCAAACGTTAATAAGCTGATCAAAATTTCCGTAGTCTGATCAGAAAAGATTTACATAAAAACATATTCGTAATGAATTTTGCGTTAAAACCAAGAATTATTTTTCAAATGATTTAGCAATAAAATAAATCTTGTTTATACATATACGTGTTTAGTTAAGCTGTTTTAGATGTAATGAAGTTAAATTAGTGTATAAAGAACAAAAATTCGAAAAGATTCAAAAATAAATTAAAACTTTCCAAGAACTTTGCCTCAATGTTATAAAATTAGGCCTTTGCATTTAAGAATTTTTATGCAATTTTAAGTCATTTAACAGGTAGATGATAAGGTTTTAGAATACGATTCAAGCTTCTAAAAAGCAAGAACAAAACAATCTTTCTGAACTCTGATGCCCTGTATATATATATGTTACCGTGAAAGACCGAAATTGGAGAATGTCGACTTTCACAGGAGAATATCAACATTCACCAAATACGTCGGTGAAAGACCGAATATTTCACTACATTCTTGTATATTCGGACTCTCACCGGTGTATGTCGACAGTCACAGATATGCTCTGGTTAAAGTCGAAAAGAGAGGTCATAAAGTGCTATAATAGTTTAAGTTGTTGCAATAAATAAGATTTGAATCACATAATTTAGTAAGTTTTTTATTACTGTTATTTTATTTTCTCATTTAGAACGTACTGTATAATTAAGTAAGATTTTAACTTCTATTATTTCCTTTCTCATTTTGAATGTATTGTGGTTTTAGGTTCTCATGTTCTTAAGTCTTATTTCAAGTCTCAAGTGGCGTTTATTCGCGACTGAATTACGGCGAAGAAAATATAATATTGTTATATGTTTGAAACATTCACCATTAATTAGCACATGGTGAATGTCGACATTGACCGGTGTAAGTCAGAAATAAGAGTATTTGGAAAATATTTCGGACATACACCAAGAGACTATGTGAATGTTGACATCCACCGGTGAAAGTCGACATTCTCCAGATTTCGGTGTTTTACCGTAACATATATATTAAACCAATGGTGGTCCTTAACCGAATTCGACCTTGTCACTACTAAAGCTAGAAGTGGTAGTCACTTTATTATATAGAGGGAAGAGACTTCTATGAAGACGGACAGTTATAACCTTGCCTTCTTCGGGATTCGAACCCGGGCCACTTGGTATCGCAGTCGACTCTCCTAAACACTACACCGTCTGTGCGGCTGCCATGTATAATAAAATTCCAGATTTATGAATTAAGATTTCACCTTATAGTGTATTGTGATTTGAAGAGGCTCATTGCTAATCCGCAACCAAATGTGTGAATTCGACTCTTGAGTAAGGACTGGGTATATATGTGTTGTCCCCCCTTTCGGGTTCAGCATCGCTTGCCACATACAGTGTACCCTGGTCAACGCTCTGTGATTAAGCGACTAAATGGTCGACGAATTCGGCCATTTTCGATGAATGCTTAAAAGGCAAATGCCCAGCCATTTGACAAACAAAAAAATCAGTAATAAACTTGAAATTCCTATTTTTCAGATTGTACTAATTCAGTCGAACATCATATGGTTTTCGTAAACCATAAAAGTGATAAAATTTTCCCTAATCACATGTTTCCAGTGTCACTTGATATATTAATTTAAATCTGTATGAAAATATGTGCAAATTAAACCATCATGAAGTATTTTCATTTCACTTTTGTCTTGCTACATTTGTGCTAGTTTGTAACTTGCCTAGATTGTATGGTAAGGTCCCGTTTCAGCCTTTTCACAACTTAGTCTGCACTGTTATACTCACAGTTCAGTCCAGGTCCGAGGTGTATCTTGGCCATTGTTCTCAATTCAGCCTTCGTTTCTCGCACTTCGGCTAGACGTAAAGAAGGGAGAGTTTACGAATTCATCCTCCGTTCTTTGTACGAAAAGAAACATGCTTTATATCAACCTATCTTTGCGTTCGATCCTTTAGAAGAACCAATTTTTAGCAGCAGTTTCTTTCCCCCCTTTTTTTTATGTATTAACTGTCTGTACTATACTACAGTGATTATGATACTAGCATTTGTAAAAACACCTTCGAAAAATAATGCAGTATATTGAAGTGTAGACTGATTATCAAGCAGGCTAGTCAGAGTGATTACCGTGATTAATGTGACTCAATACACAAAGTTTGCCCGAAGGGCGATCACAAAGTAAATTTTGATCGATTGCTGTCAGGTAATGCTTTTTATAGATCAGCATAAACACCATATCATATAAGGGAATAAGTATAATTTTATTATTAACAGAATTTAAATGCTGTTTTATATCTTCATCATCAGCAAATCCAAAGAACTTGAATGTGTTACATTTTGCGAATTTGTTAAGTGGATTGCTACTCATTTCTACGAATAAAGTCAATTACTAAAGCATGCAAGATTCCATAAAATAAAAGTAACAGTTCATTGTTTTTGCTCATTATAACCAGTGTAAAACTTTGCAACGAAATTTTCTATCTATTAACTAGCTGAATTGTAAACTTTTTTCATTCTTTTTGACATTTTGTAT